CAGTGCACCACCAGAGATCCTAAGATAGAATAGGAACTTAAACAACAACAACATCATCTCTACTCAACAACAGCACAGGGATTAAACAACAGGTCAGTGTGCCTGGGTTTTAACTTCAGACTCCCAAGTGTACTAGCTATGTAACTCTTGCTGAGACATCTTACTTCTTTCTGGGTCTATTTCCACCTCTGTAAAATGGGGACAATAAACAGTCTACATACATCACATGGAGGTTGGGATGAATAAATGAGGCTGGCAGGAGCCAGGCTGGGAACAAGCGTCAGCTGTGCATTCTTGTTACCTCCTGTGGGTTCACTGTGCTGGCCTGTGGATGGAGCCACGCATGCAGCAACCACATGCAGCTGACAAAGGCGTGGCAGAATGATCTCCAAGGAGATGGCTCAGGAACACAGAATGATGCACACTTAGCTGGGTAGTAGTGTGAGGTGACTAAACCTTCCTCAGAGAAGGACACGATACTAGGAAGGGTGGAAAGTCGACCAAGGGCCGGAAGACCTTCCACCAGGTGAGAAACAGGCTTTTGTGTGTCAGTACGACAGAGTGTGAGGATGGCACAGTATAGAATAGGGTTCTGGTCTTTTATTCATAGGGTTGTTATGAGACGTATATGAGACGTACTCGACTCACGGCACCTAACAACAACAGCATCAAGCCTGTTGAATACTTAAACAGCTAAAAACATCTCCTTTAACCTTATTTACAAGGTCAGTTTCTTTAGCAAACTTCTTCATCATTTCCCGTGTCTTACTGATAACAATTCTGTATTAGATATGTCCATATGAACTTATTGTTGAACTTAGTCATCTTGTTTCATTGCTATGCAGTCAAAACGGACACAATTGATGCTCAAGGGAATTTTCAGAGCCTATGAACTCATGAGAAGAGATTGTATACATTTCTCATGTGAAGGAGTTGGTTCATATCATCTGCCTTTGACACCACAACTCTCTAGACCAACAAAGTTCCGTTTGAAAAAGAGAAGGAGATATAAAGTAGAGGTCCTTAACCTCACTGCCATACCCACTTCTATGGTTTTCAGGGTAGAAGTCAGTTTAGAAAGCCAAAGAGGATGCAATTCTTTAGCTAAACCTTTAGAAGTCCACTGTCTAAATGAGACTTTTCTCAGGGAGAACCTCAAGATTCCAGACAGAAGACTCCTGAAGGAAACAGCCCCTGGCTAATCTTCTCCACATTGCTGAGAAGTTTATAGGATGTTCTGAGTATTTCTGCCCAGCCTGGTGAGTGTGGTGGTTGGGAATGGAGTGAAAAGAAAGTATGTGAAATGTAAGATACCAAATTCCATACCAGTCTCCACCAGTTGATGCTGACTCAAGCCCCGTCTACTGCTCATGTGTCATAGGAGAACTGTGCTCTGTGGTGATTTCAGTGACTGGACTGTTAGAATTAGATCATCCGGTCTTTCCTTTTAAGGCACCTTTGGGTGGGTGAGAACCTCCAACTTTTTATTTAGCACGCAACCACACAACATTTACACTGCCCAGGGTCTCCTCAAGGAAGATGGCGACAGTTAAATTTTACTCTGATTTCTCTACTTAGACCTCCACCACTGCTGTCCCTCTAAAAGTAAGGATGTTGGACACATGAATGTGTTGGAATAACATAATCTCCTCTCCTCCAACCCTATATTCTAGATGCAGGGTCTGGAGTAACGGAGAGCTTGGAAAGACTCTGCTCAATTAGAGGGTAAGGACTGTCTATGCAAGTCAGTATTGGCTGGGATAGGGCTTTTGTGATGTTGGATGCCATCAAGTTGGCTCTGTCTCAGAGTAACCCTGTGGACAAGAGAACATAACCCTCCTCTAACCTGCACCATCTTCACAAACTCTTCTCTATTGAAATCTTTTTTTTTCCAAGTGCTGTGTCAACTCATGCGCTTGGTGTCTTCCCCTCTTTTGATGACTCTCTACTTCCTAAGCAAAAAGTCCTTTGCCAAGGACTACTCCTTCCTGACAACATGCCCAAAGCACGTGAAGCAGAAGCTCACATTTGCTTCTAAGGAGTATTCTTAGCTGCTTTTCTTCTAATGCAGACTCATTTTTTTCTTTCATCAGTCAACCAAGGTGGAATGGTGGGCCGTAACGTCAGAACTGACCCATAGCTGATCCACCAGCAGGTTTTTAGAGGCAGTTCATTGCACAGGAGGAGACTGTCCATCCTTCTCCCAAGGAGCAGCTGGTGGCCTCAAACCATGTGCCTTTGAGATCACAGTGCAGCTTCTTGCCACTAGGCCACCAGAGCTCTTGATTTCTAAATAGCAGAGCTTTTGTACCACCACTCAACTGCTGATTAAAAATCTCCTTAGATTTGGGTTTTAATATAAAATCTATGTTTAGGAAGGGTTATGACTGGAAGCTTAAGAATGGCAGATTCTGCTTTCCCTGTATTTTATCATTGCTTATAAGCCTATATGTTATGTTCTCTTATTCATTATATTCCTCATTTGCTGGGTATAAGGAGTCTGTGTGGCACAGTAGTTCCAACCACTTCTTGGAAGAAAGACATGGAAGTCTGTTTTCATAAAGATTTACAGCCTTGAAAATTCCTTGGGACAGTTCTTTAGAGTTGCTATGAGTTGCAACTGACTTGAGATCAATGAGCTGTGGGGCTGGTTTCTTTTTTGGTGGGGAGATCCTGATTTTTGCTGGAGGAGTATTTGAGGATGGAAAACATTGTATTTTGCTTTAAAAGAGCCAGACTTGCATAGATTGTTGGCTGTTTCCTACCACAGTGTATTCTTCTTGACACATTGTTGTGCAGACACATCACTTTCCTCACCCTCGAAGAAGATGGACTGACAAATGTGAGTCACAAAGAAGCGTGACAAGAAGCCATGAGCAGCATTGGCATTTGGCTCTGGTAGGCACAATTGCTAGTTGTCTTTTGAGGAAAACTGAAGAATCTTTTGAAAGGCTGGTTGTTGTTGTTCGGTGCCACTGAGTCACCTACAAGTCCATAGAGACCATATGAACAACAGACCTTAACCTTACTCTAACCTGGACCATCCTTCCCATCTCTGACATCCTCAAGCTTATTGGTTTAGCTACAGTATCAATCCATCTTATTGAAGGTCTCCCTCTCTTTTTCTGACCCTCCACCTTTCCCAGAATGAAGCCACACTGTGGAGTCACAGAACATTCAGTCCTGGCACCACCGTTCACTAGATAGCACGTATGAATAAAATGAGCCTCTATTTCTTCATCTATATAATGAGAATAGGGCTGACTTCATAGGCTTGCTAGAAAAATATCCATTTAGTCATCTGTGTGGTATCCAAAAACTGAGCACATGTGCATATAAATATACACGTCCTTACACATAAGAAACAGGGCTGAGCATGCCAGTTCTCCTGGCCTAACCGTGGCCTCTTTGCTGCTCATCAACAGAGACTGGCAGAAAGGCTCGCCGGGAGGACCATAAATCAGGGAAGGGCTCGGATCCTGCTGGGGTTTAGTCATCTCCACCATTTACCAGCTGTGTCCATGGGCAGCTACTTATCATCTACAGGTTGAGTTCTTCAAACAGAATCATAGTCATTTTTATACTTATCAGGAAGTTGTGAAGGTTAAACAAGACACAAACCTAGTGTTCAGCATAAGGCCTGACTCTATTCAGTACTCAATAGATTGTCACTATTTCATGATTTTACTTCCTCCCAACTTCCTTGGAAATCTTGGATTTGCCATTCGTACATCTGAGAAATGGGAGAGGGGGGATCACACTCAAAATTCAATGCCCTCGATTCAGAGTTGACTCCTTCCAGGGTTTTCAGAGGTTGTAAATCTCACAGAAGGAGAAGACTGCCCATATTTCTGTCACAGAGTAGCTGAGGAATTTGAACCACCTCCCTTTGGACGGACAGTACAACTTCTTAACCCACTAGGCTACCTTGGAATGAAATGCTTGGGAAATGGAAAGAGAACATTTTTTTTTAAAGTTGACTTTGAGTCCAGCTTCTGCCACATAACAGTTGTTAGACATCAAACAATTTGGTTATCTCACTTTAGAGTTTTCCCATCTGTAAGAGAGTTCTCTGAGTACTTAGCGCATCATTTTACACATCATTCTGAATGAGCAAATCATTCTGAATGAGGGTGGCAGGTAAACAGCACAATTCCATACTCAGTCTGAGAGAAAAATATTTAAGATAGTAGACCCACTATTTAAGTTTTTCACCCTTCTCTCTTCAAACCAATATAGAATTCACTTCTATTACTTTTAATTTTCCATAGTGGGAAGACGACACATTTTAAATATGAATCTGAATATGATACTGGCATTTTAAGGGACAATGACTGCAGCAATGGGCTCAAGTATGATGGAGGTGATGAAAATGGCACAGGTTAGGACGGATCTGTTGTTCATAGGGTCTCTACAGGTCATACTCCACTCTACAGCACTTAACAACAACAACAACAAGCAGCAGCAAAGCTCTTGTCTTTGCTTTAAGATTTAAGATGCTTCAACCTCGGGGCTGAAATGGCTCGTGGGCCACCTGCTCCCTCCCCAACCCACACGCCTTCATTTGAACACAGGCAACAGGAAGGGAAGGGTGAGTGACCTACTTCAGGAGAAAGCCAGTCCTGGGAGAGACCCTGCATTGGAGAACTTGCTAGAATCCACAAAACACTGGTCTGATAATGACGACAACAGGGAATGAGAGAAGAGAAAAGAGAAACGGTGTAATTAGTAAGTGAAAATCATATTCTCCAGCAAAGCCCGAGCCTATATCTGAGGGTAGTTGCCTCTCCCATGAGCTGAAAGCCACTCTTGCACATGAGAGAGACATAGGTTAGGGGCCAGGGCACAGAGTGAACACAAAACAAGCAGAAGCAACTTGGTGAAAAGAGAAGCAGGCGGGCAGAGAAACTACAATGGCCACAGAGAGGCACTAGCTCCAGCCCTGGAAGGACGTGGCCAGAAAACGGAATCTTGATTGGTGAGTGAGGTCCAGGTCTTACCTTGCAGGCTGTTCCCATTGGTGCTGGTGCAAGTGGGAGGCGGGGAAGTCTGGGGTCTGACAACTGGCGCGAAAGCACTCTTCTGTTTCACAGCAGAGACCATGTTGGCTGGTGAAAAGGAGAAGATGCCGGAGGAGCTGCTGCAGTTAGAGGGAAGGCTTGTGGAGGAGGCCATGGTGGGGCTGGATGGCACAACTGAAAAAACAGTGGGAAAGGAGAAGTCATGTCAGCGCTGCTCCGGGCCTTAGCCTACCTCAGCTCAGCAACCCCGTCTGATGTGCGCTTTTAGCTTAGTGTCTGTACTGTCTGTCCAGGTCACCCTTTGGTACAAGTTTGTACTACATCTTACTGTGGTTGGTCTTTTAGGTGTTTATTGTGGGGCTTTTAATGGTAAGAACCTGTGCTGCAATCCCCAATGCACGCAGTTAGATGCTCTGCGTCAGGATGGGCAATCTCCTCCTTTGCAATTAACTGCCTCTGAAAACCCACTGGAGGGTCAGCGATGGGTCAGTTCAGACTCAATGGTACTCAGCAACAACATTAAGTACGTATTGGTTAGCAACTGAGTGCATTACTCATTTGTCCCACCAATGCAAAGACTCACTGTTCTACTTCCATTCAGAACCCCTCAGAGCACAGTCCTCTTTCTACACAAACAAGGTTACCAGGAATCAGAATCAACTTACTGACAACAGGTTTACCATGTGCCAGGCAATATGCTAGGCACTGGAACACCCCAGGTGAGGAAAAGGACGTGTAAAATAGCAAAGGGGGAGCGAGAGTGAGGCCAGCTCAGTGGAGGGAGGAAAGGGACCTTGGTGGTCAAGTGGTCAGAGACTGCTGCTTTGAAAAGTTCTTGGGAAGCATTCTAGAGTCACAACTACCAGTGTCAGTAAAGAATGTGAGAAAGATGAGACAGGAGGTCTCATCTCAGCATGAGATGATGAGCTGACTGATGCAATAAGAGAGAAGGAGGATGAGTTGGAAGAACTCATACTAGACACCAATAGAGGCTCTGTGTGTGTGCACCCTGCATCCTTATATCCTTATTCTCTGATTTTCTACACTGTGCTATGAGATCCTGAAGGAGACAATTATACTATGCAGTTCCATATTAGAAGTAGAAGTAGGCAGGAAGGTAGGTGGATACACTGTCACATGAAACTTCCAATTAGTAAGTAATAAGGCAGAAACCTTATGCAAATACGCACAGTCTGGTGTCCAGTGGTGGTTGTTATTAGGTACCATCAAGTTGAGCACAAGCCCTAACAACCCGAAGAACAACAGATCTGAACCCTGTCCTATTCTGTGCCATCCTCACAATCTCTGACATATTTTCATTGCTGCAATCAGTCTGATGAGGGTCTTCCTCTCTTTTCCTGATCTTCTACCTTTCCAAGCATGATGTCCTTCTCCAAGGAAGAGTCTCTCCATGCAACATGCCCAAAATATGTAAGACAAGGCTTTATCATCTTTGCCTCCAACGAGTACTCTAGCTAAACTTTCTCTAAGACATATCTGTTTGTTATTTTGGCAATTCATAGGATATTAAGTACTCTTCTCCAACACTATTGCTCAATAGCATCAATTATTCTTTTGTCATCTTGATTCATTATTCCAACTCTTAGATGCATAGCAAATGATTGAAAATGATTGAATCTGGCCTGCTTAGTCCTCAAACTAGCATCATTGCTCCTTAATAATTCGGAGAGGCCCCTGACTGCAGACTTTCCCAGTGCAATATATCTCCTGGTTTCCTGACTGCTGGTACCAAAAGTGTTGACTATGGATCCAAGTAAGATGAAGTCATTGACAGTCTCAACCATTTCTCCATCTATCATGATACTGTCTGTTGGTCCAGTGGTGAGAATTTTATTTCTTGATATTAAGATGCAATCCATTTGAAGGCTTTATTCTTTGATCTTTTGCAGCAAGAGCTTCAAGTCTTCTTCACTGTCAGCAAACAAGGTTGTGTCATCTGCATCATGCATATTATTGAAGAGTCTTCATCTGATCTTGATGCCACATTGTTCTTCACAGAATTTGGCCTTTCAAATAATTTGCTCAATATGCAGAGTGAATAGATATGAAGAGAGGATACAACCTTGACAGACACCATTCCTAATTTTAAACCATGTAGTGTTCCTTGTTCTGTTCACACAAGAGCCCCTTGGCCTAGTATAGGTTTCGTACAAATGCAATTAAGTGTTCTTCATTTTAGTCATAATTTTCAAACAGTTAAATGCCTTTGCACAGTCAATAAAACACAAATAAGACACTCTTATGAGATTCTTTACTTTCAGCCAGGACTCATTTGATATCAGCAATATTATCCTTGGTTCTATCACTCTTTTAAATCCAGCTTGAAATTCTGTCAGTTCTCTATCTATGTACTTTTCTAGCCATTTTTGAATGCTCTTCAGCATTATTTTTACATGTTTTATTAATGATATTGTTTTATAATACCAACATTCTGTTGACTCACCTTTGCTGGGAATGGGGACAAATATGGATCTCTTCCAGTCAGTTTGCCAGGCAGCCATCCTCCAAATTTCCTAGCACAGACTGATGAGCGTGTCCATGGCTGCATCTGTTAGTTGATCTGTTAGTCAATTGGTACCCTTCATTTCTGGGGCCTTATGTTTGGCCAATGCCTTCAGAGCAGCTTGAATTTCTTCCTTCATTATAGACTCTTGATCATATGGTAGTTCCTGAAACATTTAGGCGAAGGCCAATTCTTTTTGATACTATGAGTGCTGGTATTCACCTTCTTTTGATGCTTCCTGGATCATTCAAGATTTTGCCTCACAGCATCTCTTAGCATTGCAACATGAAGCTTGGATTTGTTTTGCAGTTCTTTCAGCTCAAGAAATGCCCAGTGAGTTCTTCCCTTCTACTTTCCAATTCGAGCTTTCTGCACATTCCATTATAATACTTTTACTTTGCTTTCTTAAGCTGCCTTTTGAAACCTTCTGTTCAGCTCTTTTACTTTCGCATCTCTTCCCTTTTTGTGGCTTCTTGATGCTCTAGTGCAATTTTCAGAGTCTCTTCTGACATCCATTTTGGTTTGTTCTTTCTCCTCTGTCTTTCTTATGACTGTGTTCTCTTCGTGGATGCTATCCTTGATGTCATTCCACAACTCATCTGACCTTCAATCATCGGTGTTCAATCCTTCAAATCTTTTCCTAAGATGATTTTTAAATTCAGGTGGGATAGAATCAAGATCATATGTTTTTGTAAACTTGTTTTTATTTCTTCAGTCTCAATTTGAATATGCACATGAGTAACTGATGGTCTATTTAGTCCACACTCAGCACCTGATTACTGATATTCAGTTTCTCTAATGATTCCTTCCATGGATATAGTCAATCTGATTTCTATGCTATCCATCAGGTAAGATCCACTTGTAAAGTCACTGTTTGTGGTGTTTCATTTTAATTTTTAAATGGTATCTGAGATTAACAAATTATTGAACATACAAAATTTGATCAGTCTATCACCAAGTCCTCACTTTCCGACAACCACTAATTCTTCATTTTTTCCATCTTTCGTATTCTAGTCATCAGTTATTATTAACATACCTTGCCTGCATATGTGGTCAATTTTGAACGGCAAAATTTGGTAAAAATCCTCATCTCTTTCTCTTTAGCTCTAAATTTAGGACTGTATATTTGAATACTAGTCATATTAACAGGTTTTTCTTGTATGCATATGGATAATATCCTATCACTTTTAACATTGTAATTCAGGCTAGACCTTGAAATTATCTTTTTAACTATGAATGCAACACCTTTCTTCTGTTTTTCATCCTCTGGATAGTATGACACGTGATTGTCTGATTCAAAATGGCCAATGCCATCCATCTCCCCTCAGTAATGCCTAACATGTTGATGTTCATGCATTCCATTTCACTTTTCACACAACTTCTAGTTTTCTAACATTCATACTTTGTACAGGGTATATTCTAACTATTTAAGGATTTTTGCCATTGTTTATCCTCATTTTGATTGACTTCCAGTCTGATCTCTACCTTTAATGCTGTAACTATTTGTATTCTTCTATTGTTCATAGGGCTCTGAGAGGCCTATCATCATGGCCAATCCTGCTTTCTAGCTTCTCTTCATCTGGGAGCTCCATTAGTACCTGTGCACTGTGGGTGAGCCTTTTTGTATTGATGATGCTGGTGTAAGGGAGCAATGTAGGAATTAGTGAGGGGAAAATCTGTCAGTTCATGGGAAGGAAACTAGCTGTATCGTGTGGAAGAGGTTGGTCAGTGCATGTTTCTCTATCTGCCACAGTACTCTCAACCTGGCCTTCCTTCTTTGAAGTCACCAGTAGCCATTGAGTTGACACAGTCTCATGGCAACTCCATGTGTGTCAAGAGCAGACCTGTGCCTCAGAGAGCTGTAAATGGCTGATATTTTTCAGAATCAAATCATTAGACCTTTCTTCTGGCACATATCTAGGTAGAACTTCTAATCTTTTAGTTAGCAACTGAGCACATTACCCATTTGTAACATCAAGGGTCTCCTCTGAGTACTAGCTAATACCAGCAGTCAGAAAATCAAAAGGCAAATTGCATTCGGAAAATGTGCTGTCAGGGACCTCTCCAGAATGCTGAGAAGCAACGATGTCAGTCTAGAGACTACGGTGTGCCTGATCCAGGCCATGGTCTTTGTAGTTACTTGCTATGTATCAGAGAGCTGGACAATGACTAATGATGACAGAAGAAGAATTGATGCCTTTGAGTTTTAGTGCCAGAGAAGAGTCTTGAGCATATCATGGACTACCAAGAAAACTAATCAGTCTATCTTGGAGAGGGTGAAACCAAGTTTCTCCTTGGAAGCTAGGATTTTGAAGCTCCATCTCACATGCTTTGGGCACGTGGCCAAAAGTTACCAATCCTTGGAGAAGGACATCATTCTCAGAAGGATAGAGGGGCAGCGCAGGAGAGGAAATCCCTAGATGAGATGGATTGACACTGTAACTGGGGCAATGAGGGGTAGGTGTGTTAGAGTCAGTGAGACTGACTTAGGACAGGGCAGGCTTCAGAACTGTTGTACAAAGGGTTGCTATGAGTTTCAACTGACTCAATGGCATTTAACAACAACAATAATAAGCTACTGTTTGTTTTATGAGGCAACCCTCTGACACCCACTAAGCCCTTCATACTCAAGATCAGTATTTTCCTATATCTGGCTCCAAATGTCTACATTTCTTACAGAAAATTATGCATACTACTTAATGATTTTAAGTCACTTCATTCAAATTCTAGGCACTTTCTGTTTTATTATTTATATTCACAAGCATCTTGGTATCTTTTTTACTCTGTGCCACCGGATTTGAGACCCAACTGCACTCTTGTTACACTACCTGAGCAAACTAAGCAAGCTGAGCCACAAAAGATGGCTTCAAGATCTGTGAAAGGCCCATACAAGAATGTGGTAACGCCAGGACTCAAACCCAGATTCTGTGCTCTGTTATTTCTTCTCCCCTTCAAAGGGAAAATCTGCAGAGAGAATGAGCCCCTTCTTCTGAGCCCACCAGAACCCAAAGAGCTGCCTGGGTGGGTGGTTTTACCTTGTGTCTACTGATTCTAGAAGTTAAGGAAGTGAGAATTGCCTGGGTTACAGACAGCAATTGCCAAAAGGCGGGGAATGACCCCTTGTAATCAGGCCCCAGCACGACATAATCCAAACGCACCAAATGCTTTATGGAGCAGAACCTAGAGCCGCTATCCTCAGAGTTTTCACAAACATTCTCTAAACTGTACTTTTTCTTTTAATGAGGCCAGCATTTTTATACATCTCTTAGGATTTGTAAATGTGAAAATACGTTCAATAATAACACCCATTTAAATTGCAAAACTCATGCACTGGAGGTTTGATTTTTAAATATTCGTAGACTTGAAATCCTGCTGGTTCACTGAGGAAGGCAATTAATCTCGTTGGCAAATGCGATCATTATGTGTATTTAGAGGTGGGGGGCTTGGGGGTGGGTGGTTAACTGAGGAAGGGGTGAAATATAGTCAAGCAGCTCCATTTGTTATAACATTATTAGTTATCAGCTACCACACCAGAAAGTGTGTTCACCAGTGGAATGTCTTATTTTATATTTTTCATTCTGTTTGGAATTTTTCAACATGAGTGGCTTATGAATAATTAAATATTATGGAGGCAAAAATTCAAATCAGCTGAGCTTTGTGTTTATTGTTTTATTTGCATTTATGCAGATAAAACCGTCCCATCTGAGAGCCGATTTGAGAATTTAATACGAGATTCGTGAGCATTGAGGAAATCAATTAATGGAAATTAAATGTTGGAAGTTTCACAGTCTGACAGATGCAATCTCAGGCTGCAGTCACCTGGTGTCTGCCCGGGCTTGAGAGCAGAGCAATCCAAGGCCCTAAATTGAATTGCTACCATATAGCAATTAGTTTATTGATTTAATTAAGAATGCCACCTTTTAATTTTCAGGTCATGATTGAAACATTTTCTGATTGAGTGCATTGGAGAACACTGAAATGATAGATCTATGAGAAACAATGCTTTGATGAATCATAATTTAATGCAAAACTGACCCCAAATGTGGCCTCTGGAACAGACAAGTTATGCAGATTATTGGAGGAGAATTTTAAATGTTCAGTAGCTTCTGATTTCAAACAAATAAAAGCAGAACTATAGAACTTAGTACAGACTGAGTACAGAAATTAACCCAGATAGGAATATTAAGAAATAATGTCAAATATATATCTACATATATTGATAGATAGATAGATAGATAGATGATAGAGCTAGAGCTAGCTAGATAGATATAGGTATATACAGATGTATGGAATTGCGCTGCCAACTCAAAGGTAGACAGTTTGAATCCACCAACTCTTCCAAGGGAGAAAGATGGACAGTCTTTTCCTGTGAAATTTACAGTCTCTGAAACCCACTGGAGGGTCAACCATAGTCAATTCTGACTTGGCACATAATAACAAAATACAACATTTATACTTTAAGAATACTGTGTATTCCTTTATGTCTACTTAGGAATCACTTCTGTTTAACAGCTAAGAATCATCTTGCCTCTTTCCAAAAATGAGCACTTTCCACTATTCCACCACAAAAGACTGCGTAATTACTCGTATTTTCAGCCAAGGCTCATGTATAAGTATAATGAATATTCTTTCTTTTAACATCTTTAATCCTAATTTCTACAAATGTTTAGGAATTTGGCATTTTAAGCAATCAGAACAGATTCCCACACTGTCCAAAAATGAACGTAGTTATCCATGACTCTTCCTCAGAGGGAGATCAAGATATTTGATAGATATGAATGACTGCATGGCATTTTGTAGATAAAGAAGCTAAATCATTGAAGTTCCTCAGGTACAACTTAAATATTGCACCAAATAATAATACTACTAATAATATAATAATAATAATAAGCTTTTAAGCTAACTTTCTTTAGGACAGAGATAAAATACTAAGTAACATTTCTTCTTATTTGGGTGTTTTATTTTTCTAATCTTGAAGGGTTTCCAGGGGGGGAAAAAAGAGGCTTTTTTATGTGTGTGGTTTTTGGTTGCTTTTTTTTTTTTAATTTGTTGGGCTTTTTTGTTTAAGTATGCATAAAATTAAGGGGGAGGGGAATGCAAGCATTAAAAAAAAACCCACTAAAAAAGGTGTCCTATTTCTATAGGAAGAGATTTCAAGTTCTAGACTTTTGACTACACTAGATACCACTACTGCACGATATCATCATTATTGCTCTAACTAGAATTTAGACTTACTGAATGTGCCTCTCATGAGATAGGCATGAAAAGCTCGTTATAGCCTTGCCTTATCTAAACCTCAGGAGAGCTTCATGAGGTGGATACTAGTTCTGTCCAGCATACAACTGAGAATACTAAGGTTTACAGAGATGACCTTGTTAATGGCTACTTGTTAATACCTAAAAGAAGAAGTCAAATCCATCTCCATCTGCTTCCTGCAATTGAATTTTGATTAGGGCTTTGAATTAGTTCAACCAGTTATAGTCGTGGCTGATGAAGCAGAATGAAACGAGTCAAATTTGAGTGATGATGAATGATTATCTAGAACAGGGGGGAAACTATAGGTAGAATTGCTGGAATGGGAGAAAAGTTGTAATGAGTCCATTCAGGAAATAGAAGAGAATGGTTAATTGTCAGGTCTGTGAAGAAACATTTTCAAAGGGATCTTGTCAGTTGTCCTCTTTGAACCAAGCACCATTGTTTCTGACTCTGTCAGTAGAGAATTGGTTGCTACGTCACATACATACACACACTCTTCTTGTTTTCTAAGAGAGGGATTAACTGTATAGCAGGGCATCAACTTCTCATTCCCCCCCCCCTCCCATTTTGCTTGTCTGGTTCATGAACATTTGAAAAATTCAGGTTCATTATGGTTTTGCTTCATTGGCTATGTTGAACTGGAAGAATCAGTTTGAAGTCCTGACTCTGGTGGTAGCATTTCAGGGGGGAAGGTGAGCAAGAAAGAGCGGAGGTTCTGTTGGTGGCAGTGGAACCTCTACCAGTAACCCTCGGCCAGTGTCTCGTGTGACAGGGACTCTGGCAGAGCAGACATACACAGTGGGCCTCGAAGATGGATGCTGAGTCCTTCAGTGAGAATGTGCAGAAACGCTGGACACACACACACACACACACACACACACACACACTTACTGGCGTAGGGTGAGTTGGCAGCTGAGCCATTAAGGAAGGTTGGGGAGCCGCCCAAATTAGACATCGCGGCCGTGCCGTATCCGTTCATGCTTGTGGTGACGGAGTTATAGTTGGTCTGCTGGGGGGTGGTGCTGGGCACGTACCCATGTGGTGACACGCTGCTCGAGTTGCGAGTGAAACCTGAAGAGTGAGGGCAAAACCAAGAGTGAATGAGGGGTTCAGAGGGATGACAACACTGGAAGATTATTTGGGGAGAGGAGTCCTCTGATCCCTGGCCCCTTACCACAACCCAGAGGAAAGGGGTGGGTGATTCATGTGCACGGATGGTGGTGCTAGCTCTGTGATTAAAATGGGAAGTGAGCAAAAGACACATTTCTTGGGAGATCATAAATACTAAGCAGGGCTTTGAGGAGTGGCAATGCGGGGCCTATAAATTATCATTTTGGAGCAGAAATAAATCCCAATCTAAGAGATGTATCCTGGAGTTAACAGGTTTCTATTCCCTGGGTGAAAATGATGTGCTTTGGCCTCTCAGAACTTTAATTCCAACCCTCTTTGTGATCTGTCACTCATGGTTTATGGTGGAAACTAATGTCTAGATGGCTAAATGCATGCATCCTCTTAGCCCCCTATGCCAGATTACCAGGTGTGAGAGCTAGAGATCCCAAACTCTAGAACAACATTTGATACACGCAGATAAGGGATTTTTATCTTTGTAACTAAAATATTTTTTTAAAATGAAAAATTTTTCCATGCTAAACAAATGACAGGTGAAAACTCAATATTGGGAGGGGCCAGAGAACAGGAGAAAAGGACAAGAGCAAGCTTCTGACCCTGATTGGTGGCTTGTGATGCCTCAGAAACGTTCACGGCCAGCTGCCCACTAAAGGAGTTCACACCCATCATTCCTGCGTGAACTGAGGTGTTGGCGAGCGCTGGGAGCTGGTTGTGGTTGCGGGGGACACTGTACAGAGCCTCTGCAATGTCTGCTGCTCTCTTCAGGATAATTTCCTGCAAAGGGAGGGGAAAAAACAAACCACCTTTTAGCTATCTCCAATCATATACTCCCATTTCCAGAGTGCTTTCTATCAGGAACGGTACTCAGGGTTTCCAATACTTTTAACTCCATCAACTTCTGTAACTTTTCCCAAGATTTGTATCATCATCGTCAGAGTATCCATATCACACGTGAGGAAGAGAGAATCCGAAACAACATCCTGATGAAGGACAAGCTCCTATTTGAGGTCAGAAGCCCCATGTGTGATTCTGAAAGCTCATTCTCTTAACCATTCGTGCATATATGGTCCTCTCTGTGTGTCAACACACGAGGGGATTCTCCTCACCACCAAGAACACTGGAACTCGGGGATTTGCCGAATCAGATGGAAAAAGGCACACACACAAAGTAAGAGAAAGATAGAAATTGACTGTAATTCATAACCCCTACTGAATTTGATAAGTTGTATATGACTCTCTCTCCTCCCATTGGGTGTGGGACCATGTCCCTGAGACAGTGACTCAGGTAACATGACACTCACTGAATGATTTCTTTGACCCACAGGTTCCTGAGCAACTGGAATCATATAAATGGGCTTGTTCTATGAGCTAGGTGCCTTCAATGCTTGTCTGGCCTTGTTAAGATTCTTTAGAAGATATTAAACTCCCTTTCTTCTCCTAAATTTGCTTGAAAGCCGAGGGAGATAAAATGAAGCTCCAGTCACTCTTCTTCAATTAGGAAGCACATTCTCCCTAAAGATTAGTTTTAAAGAACATACCTTGCCTTGTAAGAAAATGATTCGGTGGGGAAGGCCATAAAAGATTTACAAAAGAAGGAAGAATAATTGAATAGTCTTACAACATGTTATAGCTGAATCACTTATCCTCTTAACGCTTGCATTTGGTTTTTACACTTTTCATGCTTTTCACGCTGCAGGAAGGAAGCTGAGCTCCTCAGGTGAACGTGGGTGCACGCACACGTAAGAGACCCCACCTGCTCACCTGGTTGTTGTGTGGCATCCCATACAGTGCTTCCACCAGGTCTGCAGCCCTTTTGAGAATTACTTCCTGCCAAGGAAAAAGAGATGCATTCCTTTAGGTAAAGGCAGGTTGTCGCTATCTTTTCACATGATCACGTCCCACTTTCCTCTGCCCACACTTTGCCAGGACACTGTTTCAAAGGCAGTGTGGGGATCCCTACGACGGCGTTAAATCGCCAATTTATCCCTGTTCACATACACACTTAATCGAGTCAAAAGGTGAGCATCATTGGTCCTGCAAGATAAAATACATCACTCAATAGTCTGCCATAGGCACGATAAAGCACTCATATGTTTATTGCTGAATACAATTCCGAGGTCATTTACTAGATTACTACAATCGATGTCATTCAGTGCATGTTATGAATCCCTAAGATGTGTTTATTTTGCACTTAATTGCTTATTCCAGGAACCATGACCTTATCAGTCAGGTCATTTTCAAGGGATTTCCAATCAATCTTCAGCTACTAGAAGCGTGTAGCATTAAACTCCTTTGTTTATCTCCCTTGTGTAGCAAGACCACAATGTGGGTGTTCTATAACAAACGCACATAAGGAGGCAAAGTCCTGCCTATCAAAGCCTCTACAGAGGATTCTACTCTCCTGGAAGCCCCTTCTGCACCAATTCTCATGACTGGCAATCTGTTTCTTTCCTAGAGATTCTTTGCTATTTCAGTATCAGTTCTCATTTTCCACATTGTGGCTCATTCATTCCCATGCTGAATATATGCTCTGCTGCTCACTGCAATTGAGGTGTGTATTGGGGGGGGGGGCGTGAGGAATCTCCCTCTGTTCACTTTGTTGGCCTTCCATGTTTAACTTACAGATTTATTTCTAAGAATATTGGGTCCTCCAGAAGAGTATGTGGAAGTAATTGGGGTGTTTTTTGTTTTTTTTCCTCATTCTAAGCAAGAGAAGTCATTCTCTCATCATCCTGTCCTAATTTTCTACAGATTGATTTATACAGGAGTGTAAAAAAAGGAAGCGGAGTTAAGCTCGATGTTACATAAAATGGGGAGGATCGGAAAACGAACCAGAGGCTTGCTATGATTATCAGTGGTGATTTGCCAGGAGGGATGTTTACAATTTTGCTGTGGGTAAAGTTTCAAGAAGTTTAACTTTAAACATTTTACACAATAGACTCTGCACAGAGAAGCAGTGCTGTTCAATTTTCATATACTGCAGACGCTGATCAGAAAATAGGGATATAATTGCATTCATTTTGCTGTCACCATAGCCTCTTCAAAAATCCTTGAACAACTCTGGAAATGACAAGCTTTTAGATACATATTAGCATTTTTCAATTTTAAATTCTCTATAATATAAGATAAAATAGTTGTCATACTGCAGTAACTACTTATGACATATATAATGTCCTAAATTCAAAAATGAGATAGAGGGGTTTTGAGTTCTCAAATAAACATTTATGCTTGCCATAAACTGCTAGACCTTCTTCTATAAAACTGTTCAGTTATTTTCCACACAGGGTGAAAAAAAAGCATTATATAATCAATGGGGTTTAAATCAATGCATCTGGAATAATTTCTTTATTTTTTAATGCAATCTACAAGATAATTTACAACTTTTGTTTGTGGTATTGTCTGACCACAGCAGTTAATAATTCACTACCTTATAGGCACATGGAATCCTGTCCCCAGATCAAATTCAGCTTGTACTGCTTTCAGTAAAACCTCCTGGCCTTATCTGGATCTTAGGAAAGACGAAAACAAAACAGGATCGAAATAGTTTCATTTCTAATCTTTTCTTTGTCTAGATCTCTGTTCATTTATTTCTTCAAATACTTATTTATGCTAATGTTTGCAGATTGGCAAAGAAGAGTTTTTCTTTCTTTCCTTCTTTTCATTTTAGAAAAAAATTTAAAAAAATACCAACTTCCTGTTGATCAAAAGCATGATGGGAGAGAGCTAAGATAGGAGACTTGTGAATGCTAGTCTTAAAGCCCTACAACTGAGGACTGGAAAATCAGTGCTGCTAATTTTGGTGAATTTCACAAGACAGAGGAGAAGGAAAATTCAAAATAAACTCTTAGGTCTTTGAAGTCTTAGTATACCTGAAAGAAAAAAAAGTCAATATTAGGCTATGTTACATATTTGAATGCCATACATTTTTGGTAACAAAATTTTTCAATTACACAATCCACATGTTTCTGATTCTCCTTTTTCAGTTCCCAGAGTTCTTGTCAACATTTAATCCTCTGAAAATGAAACACGGGAGCCAGTTTCTAAAGCAGGATTCTTCTTTCATCCACGATGCTGGACATGTTTGTCCGTGCAATATATTTTCATAGATGGGTCATCACCTCAGCCTTGGTTCTGGCACACTGTCTGGAGATGAGCAAACCTAAATTTTTTTTTGTCCAGGAAGCTGTGCCTGTAAGTGATAGGTAGCCCATCTGAGAAACGCCCTCCATTGCACGATCAGCATTGCGGTTTAAGGAAAAAACCCAATTTGGTTCAGCTTTGCCAGTGTGATTCGGCCTCTCATAGTTATTTCTGCAAATGGGAAGGAGAAAGGAAATTTCTGGGTCCTCTATGAGTTAGTGCAATGGACCTGCAAGGTGCTTGGATTTCGGTGACCAGAAAATTGCTCTCACCTCCATGTCATTATACTCCCAGTGAACTAGCCCCCAAGCGTGTTTGTGTTGGGGATCTAATATATTGCCTTTCAATCAGAGCTGAGAGCCACTGAACACACAGACAGAACATGACGAGCAGGTCAGGAAAGCAATAAAGATTTTACAGAGCTGTCCAAGGTGCTAAATTTACTCAATAATGGGTTTGGCACCATAGTGTTAACCTCTCATTTACTACCAGTTTGAGGGACTAAATTGAAGTAACTGACTTCATTTACCTTGAAATGTATATTTTATGACATTATGTAAGTAGATTGAAAGGGCACTGCAGTTTTAACAATTTAAAGGCTAAAGCATGTTTAAGATGAAACTTGAATATTTATTGTATATTGCACTTAAAGTATATAGAATGTTAAAATGTATTGATTAAATTTGTAAAAGGCATTATAAAAATGACAGGTAATATAAAAGATGTATGCCTTTTAAAATCAAATTGATAGTGTATGCTATCTCTTCTGTGGTCACAAGTGTAATTTTTTTGCAGTTTTATACGGTAATTTGAAAAACCTGTAATTTCACATTAGGAAATGATTGAGAATAGGATGTTAAAAAAAATTTCCCATAAGGGTAAGAGCTGAATGTTTCGCATAATCTTTTGTCTCTGAAATTGTTCCTAAAGTCTTATTTTTGTGGCATTAGAGGAAGCTTAGTATAAAAATCCTTCCACTTTCATATGCAATTTTAATATTTCTGGAAAGAGAGCATTTGACTAGGACTAATATCTAATTTTTCGAGGCAGTTATTTGTCAGGAGAGACTTCTCTGTTTTTTATAATGTTTAAAATATCTCCTTGCTTGCAGTTCAAAACATGAGTTTTGAAATAATGAGTCGTATCTTGGGTTAAAAAAATACCCATCTGGAAATTAAAAAGACAAACACTAGCGTTCTAAATATTGAAAAGTCCCAGTCTCCATATAATGCTCCTGCTCACTCTCCCGCCACATACCTCCTGAGTCACACACGCTACGTTTCTTTTCATGGTCTTGAATGTCTTTTTCCTTAGAGAAACAGAAAAATGCTTGCTCCTTAAAGAGACCAACCAATAATAACAACGAAAACTCCAAATTTTCTTCACTCTCTTTCTTCTCACAGTCAAAACCTAACTTTACCTATCTTGATAAGACCAGTTGAAAGCTATCTGAATAAGAATCTAAAGACAAAGAAGTGGGTCAGCTATACTTTTAAGTGTTTACGTTTGTTAAAATTTTACTATGACATTTAAAAAAATTACTAATAAAAGTTTACATCAGGACATTCAAAGAAGAGTGTGGCTCCTAGTAAAAGTTTACGTGTAATAGATGTATGGGTTGCTCTTATGTTTTATAACTATTCTAAGGAAAAAGCTGAACAGACCACAAAAGAGGGTGAAAAGTCATATTTACTTTCTAAGTTGCAATGCAATCAATTTGGCAAACACACTCTCAAGCTTCTTAATGCCTCACTATGTAAATGTACGTATTACCCTTTGAGACCTTTGGCACACTAATGTTTTCAGCACAGAACTACACAGATACTAACATTTTCTCAAGCTATATTGTTATTGGGTGAAATTGAGTTGATTCTGACCCATAGCAACGCTGGGTGACAGAGTACGTGGCAGCTCCACAGGATTTTCTTGGATATAGTCTTTATAGATGCCTGTCACTAGCTCTTTCTTCTGTGTGTTGATTCAAACTACCAACCTTTTGGTTAGTAGCCAAATATGTGTCACTAAGACTCCTTCTCTAATTACAACAAGTTACACAAGCGTATCCCCATCATTTGGTTCTGGCTTCTTTATCTTCTCTCTCTACATATCTGAACAACTGTTTTCTATTTGGATTCAGTAAAGTCTTCCCAATCCTAGAAGTCAAACTTTAAATATTGAAAATGCCTCTTTCATTCCTTTTGCATTCAATTTCATTAGAATACTGAATCTGTGTCTATTTACACAATCATGTCATCCTTGCAAGCTCTTTTGTGAAAGTATTGGCAATGCTGATGTTATTGTTTTTCTGTGCTGTCGAGTCACTTGTGACTCATAGCACAATAGTCCCGAACCCTGCTCTATATTGAGGCAACCTCATTGTTTCTGACACACCTATTCCCATTACCCCAGTCAGTGAGTCAGTCCATCTTATCTTCTCTTGTGCTATCTCTCCATCTTCCAAGCAGACATGTCTCTCTCGAAGGACTGGTCCCTCCTTGCAACATGTCCAAAGTATGTCAGATGAAGCCTCAGAATCCTTGCCTCCAAGAAGTGGCCTGGTTTCACTCACTCCAGGACAGCCCTGTTTGTTCTCCTAACAGACTATGGTATATTCATACTATTCTCCAACACCACAACTCAAAGGGATTGATGATTTTTCTATCATCCTTAGATATGATACTACTGCC